ATTTACATATTTACTAATTAAAAAGGCTTCCTGGAAACATTAAGTAGACTATCTTCCATAACCTTTAACACCATCACTAATGGATATAGCCTAGAAAATTTCATCGAAGGTCCTTTAAATAATGTAAATGATTATGAATATGTAACTAGTTAATATGCAGCTAGGAAAGGACTATCATGTAGAGGTTAATGAACACTCTGCTCTTAGGGGTTGCAGGGCTTCTCTTTCTGTGCGCTTGGCTCACTTCATGCTTGGAAACACTCCTGCTAGGACTGCAGATACCCTGACTGGTTTTGGGTCTCATCTTAATGGGGTTCTGAAATAGGAACTTCATACTTTTTTTGGGGGGGGGCAAGAATTCTTTTTTTTTTTTTTTAATTCTGTTTGTCTTTTATAATTACAGCCAAATCAGAAGCAGTGCTGTGGACCGATGTGGCTTTAGTGGCTCTTACAGATGTTGTTAAGTCAGTGCTCTGTTATATACTGCCACTGTTATTAAGTGTGCTGTGTGATTGATACTTACTGCAGATCTTCATTTGGTAGGGACTTTTTATGCTGAGTTAATGTGCAGTATGGCAGAGTATCTGATTACAGCATGTATTTTGGTTCAGGATTGCTGCTTTACCATTTAAAATGTTCAAAAGGGGAGGACATTTTTTCCCCCCCTAGGAATTAAAGGTTAGAATAAAGGAATTTAGTGACAGCTCTTTAAAAAAAATGTGATTTTGGGGGTAAAACATTTTGCATATGCAAGAACTAGGATTGGCTGTGAAAACCTGGAGCTGAAAGTAGGTCATGCTGCTGTCTTCCCCATGTGGCCTCTGCAGTCCACCTTTTGTGCCTTAGTTTCTCTGTCTCTAAAATGGTGCTGTAGCATTCTAGACTAGTATATAACATTTTTTTTTTTTTCTGTTTGTACTGGTGGAAACTCAGAAATAGGGGATTAGCAGTTTGTGAAAATAGTACTAATTTAAAAATTTCCACTTAACAGTGTTATTTTTCTAATTGCGTTTTTTCGTGTGCTGATTGACGTTGTTTTCTTAGTATTTGAGGACCTATTGAAATTCTTAAAGGAAAACATAACTTCTATGCTTGATTCCATTCTTTCATTATTATAAACAGCTTAAACTGGGTGCCAATGCATACAGTTTTGTCATAATTCACTGGTGGGGGGGAGTGAGCTGTTCAGAGCATCCCTTTGTCCCCAGTATTTCTTCTTGAAAACATAGTAGAAAAATGAATTCATTTTTAATATATCAGAATAAAAATCACAGGTGGAAACATTTGGAGATATGCTGACAAAATAAAATATTTTCACTACTGTCATTTTTTCTTGCTGAAATGTGGGTGTTACATTGATTTCCTGTTATTTATAATATTTGTGTATTTTAGAAAATATGTAACATTGAAAATGGTCTGTAGATTGTGCAGAATGATAGTTATATCGGATGTCACCTAATAGTCATGAAGCAGGGTTTGTACCAAAGTCAGAATTGGAAAGCTGTAATTTGTTCTGCAGTTATCAGCCTGTGTTAGAGGGCTGTGATAAAGTGCATTGCTTAAAAACTAGCATCCCCATCTCTGTTCCTCTGACAAATAAAAATGCACACTGAGGTGTTAGTAAATCTGTAAAGACACTGTGTAGTTTTCTGATGCTGATTTTCTATCTCTGTACCTAGCCCTGTTTTTTCATGTTGTCTGTTTTCCTGACAGGTGGTCACTAACTGCCAAGAGAAAATCCAGCATTGGTGAGTGAAAGATGCTTTTATTATAATTCTGAAATATGGAGGGAGTTCCCTACTTGTATGTAAATAACGATGTGCACTGGGGTATTCGTGTGTGTGTGTGTGTGTGTGTGTGTGTGTGTGTGGTGGAGAGAGAGAGAGAGAGAGAGAGAGAGAGAGAGAGAGAGAGAGAGAGAGAGAGAGCGCAGTAATTGAATTCTAGTGATCTCCATTTTGAATGCCTTTGATACTAATTTACATTGTCTTTAACCCTTCTCAGAGTTACACCTTTGCCAATCTTCTAAAGTTTTGTTACCATCTGTGTTGATTCTAATCCCTCCTTTTCACTTAAAAAATATGGATAATATTAATCTTATTTTGAAGTAGAAACTGAGACATTTTTTTAAATTTAACTTTGTTTTGGGGATATTTCTTAGTGTTTGTAGTAGAAAATAATTGGAACCAGTTGTTTAAAAAATAATACTGGAAATAGGCCACAGATAGATTTTCCCAAGTTTGGAAAAGCTAATTAATCTGCATTTTAGAGCCTGCTTTATGGCTCGTACTTTTTTAGAGAGAAAGAAAGCACGTCTATTTTGATGTGCTAATCTATAGTTAATAGGACAATGCCTGGTAAATAATGTGCTTTCTATTCTATCACTTCTGAGGAAAATGCTCAATTTAATGGTGAATAAAATCTTATATTAGGAGTTGTCATGAGGTATGGCTGTTGATCTTACAGATATCAAATTACAGTCTATCCATGCTGTGTTTACGAAGATTTTACTGGGAGAACAACAGGAGCTGTCTTGATTATTGTCTGCAGGGTTATTGCAAAATCGTCGTAACTGCCCCTTTAGTGGTGAGATTAAACCTTCGGTTATACACCATCAAGCATATAATATTTTAAATTTATTTTAAAAGGCTTTTTCTTCATGCCTGAGAGATCTCCAAGGAAATAATTTATAGTTAGTGTATATCAAATGTTTTTGGTTTAAATGCACATAGGCTGCAAGCAATGGATAAGAGAAGATCAGTGCAATCTGTACCCATCATCTTATTCAATTTGGACTATTGGCTTGCGGAAACCAATCTAAAACTAATAATACCCACTTTATAAATAAAGATCCAGGACTTCATTAATTTTCAATAAATGCAGCGTTGTAATTGCATCCACTGGTGGTGTAAGTCTGTCAATGTTTCCATAATGGACGTTCACTTCACGCTGTACATTCATTTCAGCTTAAAATTCTAAGTGTGTGCAAGCCCTTGGCCAGAGAAGGCTTTTCTTTTGTAGATTTGGCAAGTGACTTATTTGTGAGTAACCGTTAGAGGCAGTTTCATTCTTTGGACACGTGTGTTTTGTTTTTGGTAAGGGGTTCAGAAATAAGAGAATGTATTCACTCAGAACAGACTCCAGCATACGCGAACCTAGAATTAACATCTTGCTTCTAGGCAGCTAGGTAAAATCCTTCCTCTGGTGGAGAATTCTTGAGGACCACAGACATGTTTTTATCCTGCTGTCCATGCAGTCTTTCCTTCTGTGATTGGCACAGAATAGTCCCTTAATGAATGTGAGTGAGTGAAGGTGAAATCTAGTTTTATCTACCCTGTTTTATTTGTAAACAGTACGACAGTGCACAAGCCTGGAGAGTAGGGACACTTAGGTCAGAATAGACGCATAGACCCTCAGTCTCTCTTCAGTGTGCTAACGGCCTCTGGACTACAGAAGACTGGCACACTCACCCACACAGAACTTTAAAGTTTATTGTACCTTGTCCGTATGTTAAAGATGGCAATTCTTTTTCTCTCGTTAATTTTTTCTTGCTCTGAATCACTTCTGACAGGCTTTAGGGAACAGTATTTTATTTGCCTATATATAATATCATGATGTTGCTGGAATCTAGCCAGCCAGTGAATTTTGAACTCATTTGATATGTTCAGAAATTGAAACAAAAATGTCCATTTTCTTACTAAAGTCAGGCAGTAGGGATCTAGAGTTTGTGGCAGTATTGTGGTATCATTACATCTCAGACATTCAGGCAGAGAAGACCTTCCTGCCTCAGGCAAGGCTGGGCTGATGTGCCCGACCTAAAGACCCAGCCACAGAGGTTCCTAGGAGGACACGGAACAGAGAAATGCAAGCACATTTTGTGGACATGTGGAACAAATAGAGCAAGTTCAGAGCCTGCAGCCAATCTTAAACATGCCTTAGACACAATTTTCAAAAGCATGTTTCTTTTAACTTTTGACACATGGCATTAGCCAGTCTAAAGTGCAGTTTAGGATAGCTGTGCCCTCATCTACATGGGTATCTGCTAATGTAAGAAGCAGAGCAAAATAAATGACTTTCAAGATGCAAGCCTTTTGCTAGTAGTGTTGATGTGTAATTTAAATGGATTCTTTTATTTACAGACAAAGAATACAATTTAGGCTTTGAAATTCTCTCTCTCTTTCTCTCTTTAAAATGTTGGACAAAAAGTGCAAGTATTTGCAGAAAAATAGGAGTCTGGGACTCTTTTAGGACCTACTGAGAAAATTAAATTCCAGGACTCTGGTGAACTAAGAAGTTAATGGTATTTGTCAGTTAAGGACAAATAAAAAGGGAAACATTTGGATTTAGCAGATAAGAACTGGATAGGATTCTGCTAGTACTAATAGGGATTTTCTTTTTTTTTTTTTTTTAATTTGTTTAACTTTATTTTCTGTGCATTGGTATAAAGGCGTTAGGTCCCCTAGAACTGGAGTTACAGACAGTTGTGAGCTGCCATGTAGGTGTTGGGAATTGAACCCGGGTCCTGTAGAAGAATAGTCAGTGCCCTTAACCACTGTTTCACCTCTCCAGCCCATTATTTTTGTTTTTGAGACAGGGTTTCTCTGTGTTGCTTTGGAGTTTGTCCTGGAACTTGCTCTGTAGCCCAGGCTGGCCTTGAACTCACAGAGATCCGCCTGCTTCTGCCTCCTGAGTGCTGGGATTAAAGGCATGTGTCACCACAGCCCGGCTAATAGTGGTTTTCAGCTTGACCAAGATTTAATTTTTTTTTTTTTGTAATTAATTGATACAACTTTTTAGCCATGTGGTGATGTTGGATTCCTTTAATCCAGCACTTGGGAAAGCAGAGGCAGGTGGATCTCCTCGAGTTCAAGGCCAGCCTGGTCTACAGAACTAGTTCTAGGACAGTCAGACTGACACAGGAAAGAAAACCCTGTCTCAAAAAACTAAAAGCAAACAAGCAAACAAGCCTTTTTTTTTTGGGTCTATCATTTGCACTCCACACAGGAAAATTCGATGCTGCAGGCTTATTTTCTTGTTGAATATGAGAAATGTGAGGTCTACTATTGGTCCACTTGAGCTGATTATCATGGGGGCATTATTTGCATCTCTCTTTTTTTCTTATATTCTGTACAGCATTTGGAATCACAGGCATGTGTTTGAGTTCCATCATTTGCAGCCTGGAGCAGTTACACTAAGAATCCTCAGTGTTCTTCTAGGCAGATGAGTCACCACCTGACTTGCAGGGCCTTGGTGTGTATTCAGCTGTCACTCAAGAACTAAGAGTAGATACTACATCTTTTTGGAACAGTGGAGATGTCATATAAATAAGGAAAAAGAAGAAAGGTCTCACTGTTTTGTACATATTTGTGAATGTTTTGTATTCATGCCATCTTACTTGTTTGTCTGGTTCTTATCTTCCATTATGTCCCAGGATGGCCTGGAACTTGTGGCAGTCCTCCTGCCTCAGCTCCCCAGAGTACTGGAATTGTAGACAGGTGCTACCCTACCCAGTCACACTGTCTTTTTATCAGGCAGAAAGTTAGCTTTCTCAGCGTGTTCTTAGAGCTGTGTGTGCCTGTCTTATAGGTTTTGTAATGAAGCCTTTTAAACAAGGGGATATCAGCCTGTAGGTGACCATCACTCAGTGTCAGTGCTTGTCAGCTCACAGCAGTCAGGATTCCACTGCCCAAGTTGAAGGGCATCCTGGGCTCAGTAGGGCCTGTTAGCCGAGCCTGCTCTGTCTTTACGGCATTTGTCCCAGAATCCTTTCCTTTTACGTGACATCATGGAAGCTGCAAGGCCACATTGGGATGTTCAGAGGAACTTCTAGAGCCAGCCAGACTCAGAAGGTGAAGAAATGACTGCTGTTGCTGGACCAAAAAATTTGTGGCCATGTTTATTTAGTATAAGGCAGATGGTTCCTCTTGGCCAGGTCTCACACGAGAGGCCCCTTACTTTGTGTTGCTCATGGGAGTGGGGCAAAGTTAAAGCAGGGAGGTAGGTCTTATCTATTTATATCCGTCAGTTGCATGCAGTGGAGGTGTAGAGATAGCTCGCTTGGGGCTTGGAGAGAGATTTCTCAGTGGTTAGAGCACACACTGCTCTTGCTCTTGCAGAGGACCCGGGTTGGTTTCTGCCACTTACACCAGGAAGCTGTAACACCTGCACCTCTAGTTTCAGGATTTCCAGTGCCCTTGGCCTCCTTGGGCACCTGCACAACACACACACCTACCACACACATAACTAAAAAGAACCAAGACCCCGTTTCCTTGAAGGCTTGTAAGAGGATTTTAGGTAGAGAAGATATCTAGTATTAAATTACACAAAGCCAACTTAAATGAAAATACAGTATTTTATTTGTGCATGTGTTTGATATTCCTAAGAGTTGTTTAAATTTGATGAACTTGAAAACACTTGAGCGTGTGAGTTTTAAGAGAGAAATTAGAAAACAAATGCTTGATATTTGTTACTTATTAACAGAAAACTGGATAAAAATTACTATTTGGGGAAGTTTCTGTAAAGTTTATGGTCATAGTGTTTAGTGGGAAATAGAAACATACATGTATAGGCAAAATCATAAGTCTTTCCAAAAGCTTCTCTTTATTGGGGCTGGAAAGATTACTCAGTGGTTAAGAGCATGATGGCTCACACCTGTCTGTTACTCCAGTTCTAGGGGATCTGATACTTCCATGCCAATGTACATAAAATAAAGCTAAATAAATTAAAAAAAAAAACCCTTCTCTTTACT